TATCAACTTCATCTTCAGGTATTAAACTATAATGATCAAATTGATAATATCTTTCTAATTCAGCAAGTGTGGTATGTGGATTTGCAGTTGAAGTTGAAGTAGTAGATGAAGAATCAAGAACATTACGTTTCTTAGCTATTATGGAGAAAAAAGAAGATTTGCCTTTAAAAGTTGTACTAGAGATTGGAGAAGAAGACATTTTCATTGTTACCATATTTAAATTTTTTTTTTTTTTACGGGTCGCGGGTTAACCGCGACCCGTGGGGGTGAAACCCGCGAAGCCCGCGGGTTACACCTCTTTGGCCCGTGAACCGCCCGCACGGGTCGGCCCGCGGTCCCGATTTTCACGGGTCGGGTCGGCCCGTCCGTCCTGACACCTCTAGATCTCAGAATCTTTTCAATTACCACCACATCATCCATATTTTCTCGATGGATTCTCATCTTGTTGGCTACTGTGAGCACTCTTGCAAAGCAGTCATTGACTGATTCTCCCACCTTCATGTGAAGCATCTCAAACGCTTTACGAAGAGCCTGCAACTGTGCACGTTTGACTCTAGCCATGCCTTGATACTTCTTTTTCATCAAATCCCATGTCTTTTGCTGTGTCATTTTTCAAGATTTTCTCCAAAATGACTCGATCTATGGCTTGGAAGAGGTAGTTCTTGGTCTTCAAGTCCTTCAGTTTCTGATCTTCTAGGGCTTTGTTTTGAGCATCACTCAAAACAATTCCTTCAGCATACGTTGTGATCCCATTCTCTACCAGGTTCCAATATTCTTTAGAGCGCAAGAAATTTTCCATGAGCATGGACTAATGATCATAGTGTCTGTTGAAACGTGGGATAGCTGGTTGCACAAAATTACTTCCTTCTCCAGCCATTATCTCTTGTTGCTGCAAGTCAGAAAGCTACTGCTTTGTTGAGTTTTCAGGCCTTAGTAAGGGGCTCTGATACCATATATTGTATATTTTGGAATGTCAATGGAAGAGACTATCATTTATTGAATAATGGACTTGGCTTTATATAGCCTTACAACTGGAGATAACAGAAGAAAAAAAGGGGATAGGTCCCATGAATAACAAACACTAAGATCATGGGATTCTCCTAAAATATGCTCAACAGAAAAGACTCTTTCAAACTCTTCCCTAAAACTCAGGGATTATTCAGCTAAACACAAAATTAATTAAACTACCAATACTTTTAACAGTTGTGATCCTTGACGTAAATTGATAAAATAAATAGCAAACAATAAATCAACAATATAATAACTACGTAACAAGAAGTTATTTCTCTATTTCTGTGTGTGTGTGTGTGATTTTGGTTTGAAAGAAATGAAAAACCCAAGGTGCAGAAACTCAAAGCATAAGCTTTTACGCCCCTAATGATAGGTATCATACTTTTTCTGTTATTAGATTGTATGCCACCAAAAGCTTCAAGATTAATGATGATACTATCAAGAGGGAAAACTATGCAAAAAGCCGAGAATACTGAAATGTCAATACTGAGGAGCACACACCTCGGTTACTGCCTCAGTAAGTCGAGGTGTAAGACTTGACCAAGAACACTCAAAGCATAAGCTTTTACGCCCCCAATGGACACCTCACTCCAAGTTGCGTGTCTCTAGCTCTTTGGAAACACTGCTTTTATGTTTTTGGCTCATTAATAATTATTTTGCTGCTAATTTTATAATTAATGACATTCCATATTGGATACCTCTTCACGAAATGCGTTTAGGTATTGCATGCTTGCTATACAAGAGTATCTCCTTCTGTTGAAGTGGATAATCCTCAGCTTGTTGCATGGTCGAATTCAGTTGCTAAGTTACTTGGTTTGGATTCTAAAGAGTGAGTTGTCATTCTTTTTCTTAGATCAAAATGTGACTAGTTTTGATTACTTATTTATCTATCATTTGCATATGTAAATGAGCTTTTTGGACAATATTATGTTCATACCTGATTGCTTATAATATTCAGATTCGAAAGACCTGATTTTCCACTTATATTCTTTGGCGCATCACCCTTGGTCGGAGTGTAAGTGTCGTTGCTTAGTTCATTTCTCTCTTTCACGAGTTCTACCAAACCTTTATTGATTATTTGTGACATGTTCTATAGAAATCCTTATGCGCAATGCTATGGTGGACATCAGTTTGGAATGTGGGCCGGTCAGTTGGTTGATGGTAGGGCAATTACTCTCGGAGAGGTTCTGAATTTGAAGTCTGAAAGGTGGGAATTGCAGCTTAAGGGTGCTGGAAAGACCACATACAGTCGGTTTGCTGATGGTCTTGCAGTCTTGCGCAGTAGTATCCGGGAATTCCTTTGCAGTAAGGCAATGCATAGTCTAGGAATCCCGACTACACGTGCACTTTGTCGGGTGACGATCGGAAAATATGTCACTAGAGATATGTTTTATGAGTATGTCCCTGAAGGTTACTTTCGGAGTAGTAGAGGTTTGAGGCAAGGTGATCCGTTGTCCCCTTTGTTGTTTGTTATTGTGATGGAGGCATTCAGTAGAATGGTTGAGAAAGCTATGACGGAGGGTTTGTTAAGAGGTTTTGCGGTTGGTCATCTACAGGTCTCCCATTTGTTATTTGCAGACGACACTAATCTTTTGTTATGCAAACGATATGCAAATTAGGAATTTGCGTCGCTTGCTTCTGTGTTTTGAAGCGGTCTCCAGTTTGAAGGCAAATCTAGGAAAATCTGAGGCTATTCCAGTGGGAGAGGTTGCTAATGTGGAGGAATTAGCGGCCATACTCGAATGCAGAGTCGCACAATTGCCCATGTCATATCTTGGGCTTCCGTTAGGAGCGAGGTTTAAAAGTAAACATATCTGTAATGGTATTCTTGAAAGGGTACGGAGGAGGTTAGCGGGGTGGAAGTGTATTTATCTGTCGAAAGGAGGTCGTCTCACTCTCATCAAATTCACACTTTCTAATTTTCCAACCTATTTTCTATCTTTGTTTCCTATTCCCGTTGTAGTGGCAAATAGTTTAAAGAAGATGCAGAGAGATTTTCTTTGGGCAGGGTTGGGGGAAGAGAGGAAGTTTCATTTGGTCAAATGGGGTGATGTTTGTTCCCCTGTTAGGGTTGGGGGTCTTGGATTAAGGAGCCTTGTTTTATTTAACTAGGCATTGTTGGGCAAGTGGTTGTGGTGATTTGGAATGGAGAGGGAGAGCTTCTGGAGAGAAATTATTGGGGTGAAGTATGGTGTCTTGGAGGGGGGTGACGCTCGGGTGAGGGTCGTGGTCCTTATGGGATGAGCTTGTGGAAGTATATCATGAAAGGATGGAGCGATTTTCAGAATAGATTGGCTTTTGTGGTGGGGGACGGGACGAATGTCAGATTTTGGGACGATTGTTGGTGTGGAGATCAAACATTAAAAATGCGGTTTCCTTCTTTACATCGCATTGCTTTGGAGTCTTCAGCTATGGTGAGTGATGCTATAGCTATATCTAATGAGAATCCTAGCTGGAACATTTCTTTCGGGAGGGGCTTACATGATTAGGAACTGGATGACTATGCATTGTTTTTGGCCTCTCTGTATGATGTGCACATTCAGGTAGGAGAGGATGACTATAGCAGGTGGAGGGCGGCACATAATGGTTTGTTTTCTGTCTGTACTTATTTCAGATCCTTATTGGAACCTGTTGAGAGCTCATTCCCTTGGCAAAGGGTCTGACAAAGTAAATTACCTTCAAGGGTGTCTTTTTTACCGTGGACGGTAGTGAGGGGACATGTGTTAACGGCGGATAATCTTTGAAGAAAGGGATATTGTATTACGGAGTGGTGCTATATGTGTAAGAGGGATGGAGAAACGATCGATCATTTGTTCATTCACTGTGACGATGTTCGTTGGATGTGGAATGATATTTTTGCTTCGCAACATATGAGTTGGGTGTTGTCAAGGCATATCAAGGAAGTAGTTTGGGCATGGAAGAGAAAGTTTCGAGATAAGAATAGCAAGCTTGTTTGGTGTGTGGGAGAGAACGAAACGGCAGATACTTTGAAGATCAAATACGGACGACAGAGCAATTTAGGGAATTGTTTTACTTGACTTTGTATAGTTGGTTTAAGGCTGCAACCATTAGTCCGATAGAAGGGTTGCCGAATTTTTTATCGTTTCTATCTTAAACTGATAATGCACTCCTTGTGTATTATCTTTTGATTTTAATTTATAAAATTACGTGATTACCTATCAAAAAAAGAAAAAAATCTTCCTTTTGTATATATGTTGGTCAACTGATACTGTACCTCATCTTTCAACCATTCATCTTCCTTCAGTTAAATAAGATGTTTTCAAAGTTTTAAGATTGTTCTAAATTTTAGAGTGCAAAGTTCGTGGGATGGATCTATTTTGAGGAAAGTATGTCGATTCAGTTATAGACCAATATGGTAATAAATGGCGACTTAAAATGTGCAATGTTCAAGAGTTATAGTCTTAAAATGACTCGAATACTTTATGCCTTGGAGTAATGGTCTAAGATTTTTGAATGAACTTATTAGGTTGACAACTTTGGGTTTGTTCACATGTAGTGGCAATCCAAAGGATGAGCCTGGTGCAATTGTTTGCAGAGTTGCTCAATCCTTTCTCCGGTTCGGTTCGTACCAAATACATGCATCTAGAGGGAAGGAGGATCTTGACATTGTTCGCACTTTGGCTGACTACACCATTCATCATCATTTCCCCCATTTAGAGACATTAGTAAGAGCGCAGTCTATCTTTCAAAACTGGTGAGGGGGATGATTCAGTTGTGGATTTAACTTCGACCAAGTATGCAGGTAAATTAGTTATTTAAAGAATTTAATACCCAGGAAAAAATAATCTATTTTGGAACTGAAGTTTAAAAACGAATTGCTATGTAGATTGTTGAGATTGTGGTCTACAAGTGGATCATATATGATCATCATGTCTGCTCTTCTTGTTGATTTATTTTTCACTACTATCATTCATTCTCCTCATCACTTTGGAAACGCGAAACAACCTGGAATATTATCTTAACCTTTTAGTTTTAAGTCCATTAACTGAATCCATCATTATTGGTATTGTTTGTTGACTGGTTCCACTACGTGCTATAGAGACATAATATGTTAGTTGAGGACAATGAGAAGTATGAATTATTCATTTTGTCATCTACTGATGGGCAATAATTCCATGCTTTAGTCAGTTTATTGCATCTTTGTAGATGCATCAATTGTTGACTAAACTATAATTACTCTCGATAGAATGTAGGTTTTATTTTATTTTTTTATTTTGAGCAAGTTTCAATTTTTTTTTTTCCTGTAATGATTTGGGTTTTAAGGGAGAAGTAAGCTATTGCAGAAATTATTCCGTTACAATTACCTTGTTTTAACACAAAAAATAAATTATGACATAGTAGGGTGGTAAGTTTGAATGCATTTCTTGACAATGCTCATCACATTATCCTCATCTCTCTCTAATTGTTTTAGTTAAATGGATGTCATAGACAACTGTTTTAATGTAAGATGAAGGCCAATATGTTGTTACATGTCCACTGACTTAAAATTTTTCTTTTGTTTTCTCATTTTCTCTCTCTTATGTGCATATATAGCAATTTCTCCGCATTGATTTGTCTGTTTCTGGCATGTGATGTGGATGATTTCAGCTTGGGCAGTAGGAGTTGCTGAGTGTACGGCTTCCTTAGTGGCACAATGGCAGGGTGTTGGCTTCACACATGGAGTGCTGAACACTGATAACATGAGTGTGTTGGGACTCACCATTGATTATGGTCCTTTTGGTTTCTTGGACTCTTTTGATCCCAGTTACACTCCTAATACTACAGATCTTCCTGGGAGAAGGTATTGCTTTGCAAACCAACCCGATATTGGCTTATGGAACATTGCACAGTTCATGACAACTCTTTCTGCTGCTAAGATGATAAATGACAAGGAGGCTAACTATGCCATGGAGAGGTATTTTCCTGGCTTAAACCTTTCTAAGACTTTCTTTCCAATTTTGAGTTTTTATTGACAACTTATCTCCTTGATTTGTTAGATATAGCACCAAATTTATGGATGAATAACAAGCTATAATGACCAGAAAACCAGGTTTACAAAAGTACAATAAGCAAAGCTGATCCTACCATTCAAGAAGACGGGCTATTGATTCCCCTGAAGGCTGTTCTATTGGATATTGGTAAGGAGCGGAAAGATGCATGGACCAGCTGGGTTCAGTCCTACATACAGGAGGTATTATAACCTATTTTGAGACTCCCACATTAATAAAGTTTTTACAGCCTAAGCCTCATAGTATTGAAGTGTGGGTTCTCATTAAGACAACGTCCAGGACATTGTCGACTTGAAAATGGAGATTTTACTTGATTTAATATCCGGTCTCTGAAAAGAAAGAGAATCAAGCACACAGATTAATGCAATTTCATTGAAACAAAATGTTGAAGCATTCACGATATCTTAAGCATGCCATTCTAATCTTTCAGGTTTTGTTGTCCGAATTTAAATGATTTTGACAAGTTAAAACAAGAATTGTTATGTTAACGTTTAAAGCCTAAGTTCTTGTCTTCCATTTCCGAGACTCTCTTGAGGATTAATTGTTAGCCCAAAGACTGGAATTTCTTGCTAACTAGAATTTTCCAGCACTAACTAAAATCATATGTCTGAAATAATTAGTCATGAGTTCATTTCATGACTTATTTACTTGATCATCTTTTGTTCCTTGATGGCACAATTTTTTAGGCAGGAAAGTTTAGGAAAATAAGGCCATTAATGATCCTGCAGTCTGTGGAATAACTTTAGCAGTCCTCGTTCCTTTTCTTGCTGATGAATGCATGCATATCTAACTTCCCGCGGAGGCCAATGGATATGGGAAATAGAGGAATAACCATATGCAAAAACATGGCATTTATACTATAACTTGCATAGTGTTGGTTTACTATTTAGTTACTCCAATGTCTTTAGCAAGGTCGCATCACTATCCATATGTTGCTCCTTGGTGGATTCAGTGGGTTTCCTTTGCTCAATTATCTGAACGTTAAATTTCATGGTTCACAAGTTTCTAATCTATATGAATTTTAAGAAATCCTTGCACTGCGCTTACTGTTGTTTGATCATTTCTAAGCGGTCTTCGCTTGTGTTTTATTGCTTTCCTGTCTTAGATGAACTTTTACCATAGCCTTCTAATCATCCAAAATTGACAGTTCTGACAGAAAGAGTTTCTTCTAGAAGGACTCTAATAAACGGCTTAATACATTGTTGAGATTTAGAGAGATGTATTTAAGATTGAATTATGGCTGATAGGAATATTCAGGAGTAATGAAACTTTTCTCTTGGGAATACCCTTTTTTATGTTCGACTGCAATGTGCGTAATATGGGAATTGGGGCAAGACACAGCTTATATATTCAACACCTGGCTCCTTATCTGGCTAATCTGCACATCACGATTTTGATTTTTGTGGACATGTATGTCCAATTACAGTTGAGTCACAATGTACTCGACTCGACAATCTAAGAATATATTATGAAGGGGCCATGGGTGATATACTAAGTCTATGCTTGAAACATTTTGGTAGTTTTAGCTATTCTGAGTGACTTATTTTAGGACTGTATAGTTGAGCCGCATTGTAAATGCATTGTTAATTCATATTCCTTTCCTTTCTGAGGTGTTGAATTAGTTTAAGAAAACTGTCACCATGTGTGGAATTGATTCTATCATGATCCATGAGTCGCTATGAACATGATTCCAAATGCAATTTCATGAAGTTCATTTTCATTGAAAACTCCTGTAGTCTGACATCCATTAGCCTGTTCGCTTGTTTGGCTTCCACAGCTGTCTGCTAGTGATTCTGACGAGGAGAGGAAGATCTCAGTGAACTCTGTAAATCCCAAATGCATCCTTAGAAACTATTTATGTCAAAGTGCCATAGATGCAGCTGAACTAGGTGATTTTGAAGAGGTTCGCAGGCTGCTGAAGGTTATGGAAAGTCCATGCAATGAGCAACCAGGAATGGAAAAATATGCACGCTTGCACCGAGCATGGGCTGATCGTCCAGGTGTGTGCATGCTCTTGTTCCTCTTGAGTTGCACATATATCATCCAAACACCACAGAAGAAGAATGTATTTTGTACACAAACAGCCCGTATTATGGTTAAGTCGTTGCTGCTCAGAATTTTCGCTTTTCCATTCCATATATTTTTGTTGCACACAGCACAGGCATACGGTTTATAATGTAGTATATTTTTATTACACTGTTGGGCTGTACACACACACACACACACATATATATAATTTGTTATTGCATCAAATTCATTATGCAAGTTTTATCCATCAAGAGTATTAGGGTGACTAGTTTATGAATGTAATTCTGCTGTGCTTTATACTTAATTATATTCTTGTTATTTTTTTCGAAGTTCTTTATAGTGTGTAAAAATACATTATGGCATTGTGTGACGGATAAGACGACAAGTTTAGTAAAAAAAAAAATGTTTAAGATTTGTGTATTTGTATAGTGTGATCTAATACTGTTCATTAAACATGCATTTACTTTACATACATTTGGGGAATAGTCGTATCAAGATTATGCCGCATGGTGCTAGGCTAGCAAAAATTTAGTGCCAAAAAGAAATTAGGAAGTTCAAATCATTTCATTGAAGCAGTAACAACATTCTCCTCAATTCAATTGGATGTAGCATTAGTTTTTTTATTAGTCGTTAAATTTGTTGTATTGAAATCGCATCTCTCTCACGGACATAATACTCGTTGAACATGTTTGCTACACGCGAATAAAAATCATTAGATAATAATAAAGAAGGAAAAGTCGTGTTAAATTTGTCATGTTTTATCTAATAAAACACTTGGGAAAATAGAGTAATAATATATAGCACTGCACCTGTTCAAGTGTTATTTAAGTGTCGTTAATTAAATAGTTCATCTTAAAAGTAGAAATATGAATATCATTTAGATCATCATTTGAAGACATTTATAGCACCAATGATGTAAATAACGTTATTTGGTAAATAAGATTAGAATGATCACTCGACTTGCAGAAGACATAAAAATTGATCCTAATAGCACAAGATTCTCAAGTACAAATCCCAATAAAACTTACCCAGCTAAACCTAGCTGTGGATGGTCCTTTTTACAATTATTTAAAAGATTTTTAGTACTATAAAATTAGGACAGTGTCACAAGCAAACTGAAGAAGGTGGCTTATGTGATAAAGTCACATGACACATGTTCTTAATTAATCTTTATGGATTGTTTGTAGAGAGAGTTCCATTAGTCAAATGAGCATCACATGTTACGCTGATTCCAAGTTCCTACCCATTAAAATACAAAGAGGAAGGAATTTTCAGATGGACTCTTGTTTGTCGACTCGTTGTGACATGCTTGGCCGACTTTCTCTTATGAGTGAGAGTCTCTATGGTCTATGACGGTTTCGAATACTTAAATCATCATTTCCTTAATTTTATCTTCAATTAACGTCACATCTATCCATTCGTTGTTGTCGTATTTTATAACTTATATATGCAATATAAAATATATTTTTAAAATATCTAGTCAAATTAGACTAGCATAAAATTTTCTACCTGCAGATTCAGACCCAAGTTTGACACTGTTGAATCAATCTTGGCCTGCATATTTGCCTTTAATTAGGGTTTCTATACAATATATTTATACAAAACACATGTTTTGTCAGTCTAAAGCACGAGGTACAACCAACAAGCAGCATGCATAACCTTTTATCAGTCCTCATATAAATTCAAGCCCTCCATTTTTCACCATCTCCATTTCATTTTCTTTCTTAATCAGTATGAAAAACAGTCACAGAACACTAGTTCTTCTGTTAGGGTTTCTATTTCTGCATTTTCATGTTACATCTTCATGGGGCCTCAACGATCCCGTTGGCGATGTTAAAAGTCTGTCGAGAAAATTGTTAAGTTCTTCTGTTACTTCCCTTTGTGTAAATGGAGTAAAGAGTGGAGCAATGAAAGAGCCTGTAAAAGCAGTGGAAATGAATGGCCTAAGGAAACGCCCACCAAGTTCTTCAAATCCTACACAGAATAAGCAGTGGCCTTTCTTGAAAAAGAAAGAAAATAGAGGGAATAAATCTGATTCTGATTCCACAAATTTTGCAGGAAGTAAACCTTGATTAGCTAGTTCTTTCTTGGTTATTAATCCCTTGTTTTAATTCTTGTAGGAATTTTTATTTCTTGAATTTTTATTTCTGTTTTATCGACTAAATTTGTAGAATTATTAGGAGATCGTTGAACAAGGGTATGTAGAACATTGTTTAGCATACAACAAGAAGTTAATTATTATTCTCGATTGTTTGGATCGGTTATATGGATCCTTTTTGTCATTCCATTCGTTTCACTCAGGGACGGATGTAGGGGGACTGTCCGGTCCAGTCCCCAGCCCACTTAAATTTTTTGGTGCAAAAAAAAAAAAAAAAAAGAAAAATTCACGTGTAATTTTATTTTTTTACATATTAGCCTCGCTTGTAGTTTGGTCCTGAATCCGTTCCTGGTTTCACTTGTGAGATTCAAAGCATCTAGATCCACATCAACCAAAGGAGGTCATGGTGATATAAAGTAGTGCTAGAAATAAATCTAACTTATTTCAAAAGTCAATTCAAGCATTTGATAAAGTGTAGATGACATGGTGAATTCATATTTTTCTGTTTGTATATCATGACCTGATAAAGTTTTTTTGTGTTTTTGTTTTTTTTTTTCCTCAAAATGCAAGTTTGGCGTCGCATAGGACTTGATATGATTAATGAAGACAATCATGCAATATAGCTCTTTGCTTGAGTCGGATTATATCTAGTGTCCTCAAGGTGTAACAAGTTTTTAAGCGTAATTCTTGGTAATACGCTATGAGAATTTAGGATTCTATTTACTTACACAGGTGTCTTTCCTACATAGTATTATAGGCGACTAGACAATATTAAAAAAGAAAAGAAAAATTATAGTACGATGTTTATGTTCTTATTCTATTATTCTTGATATCTTGATATGCTCTTCCAGCTAACAAGAAGAGTATTTTAAATGCTGAGGAGTCCTATGTAGGAAGAATGAAATCTTTTCATTAGGTTCTATGTGTGATTTTTATTCTTTTTTCCATTTTCTTGGGCAGAAGCTTTGACATCAAGTGTTGTCAATTCTTGGCTAATTGTAATTGTATCGAGAAAGGAATGATCACTCATCTCAAAGATTAATAATAAGATACAAGAGTTTAAAAAACATTGCTCTAAACATGAGGGTTGTGACACATTACAAATAATTTTGAAACTCAAGAGAGACGAGCCATTTACCATGGCAATGTGATTTGTGGAGCATTACTATCGAGATTATAAAAGATAAGAAGATATGTGTCCTCTTGATACTTGGTTTGATAGGTTTTATATCTTACTGTGATAAATCAAAAGACGAATACACAAAGAACGTGTTTAGCATATAGTACTAGACTGTGTTAACAATCGAAGATATTTACTAAATTTAGAAAAATTTGACAGCGACAAGCAAACAACAGATAATCACTCTTTTTAGTTGTGTAGAAGGAATTACATTCTCGAGAAAGTTTGGAGGATCATAGCAAAAAAGCTATTCAGATTCCTTTAAAAGCTGATAAAAAAATCCCTTCAATTTCTAAAACAAATCTTATCGTATTACTCAAAGAATGGACAACTACACATTACACAGATCTATTTAAAGTGTTGCAACCCTTCGGTTTTAGGCATAAGTTTTGGGATTAATCACTCTGAGAGGAAAACCAAATCTTCTGCAACATGGTTTTCTGTGGTGCAATGGGGGACGCCGAGATGCTTGGAATTCCCACAACTGCAACTCGACGTCGTCATTGCACCACTGACAATCATATATGTTGCCATTTTTCAAGAGTATTTTGTCATGAGGGTGGCTGTTTTAGGGCTTCCGTGATGCTCAACTACAACTTTGAGAGTGTCAATCCACACACAAATGAATCACTTCATTTGATCAAACGTAAGTATCTAAACAAATTGATTTAACAATAGTAAGAAAATTATGTTCTATATGAGCTTGGAGATTTATTTTGTAAAGCAATTTAGTGAGAATAGCACAATTATTAATTAGGCCAAGTTTGGTATTGCTATGTTTTTTAAAATAATTAACTTTTGCTATGATTTAAAAAAATTAGCCGCATGAAGAATGAATTAAGTGTCTGGTAAACTTTTGTTTCAAAATAGTTGCATATTTCAAAATCATCATTTTAATGTTTTGGTAAGCAAAAGTGATTTGTTGTTGTGTCCGGAGTTCTAAAAGGCCAGTCTATGTTCGATGCCCGGAAAAAATGCCCTACTGGGGCAAGAAAATAGACCGACAATTCTACATTAACCATTTAAGGCGCGTCTAGCTGGAAAAGGTGCGTGCCTTTTTTGATGAGTGATTTTATGATTATTATTATTATTTTATTTTTTTAATTTTATTAATTTTTTGGGGGGGAAGTCCAGCTCAACAAAGTCTTGTATTTTCATAATCATTTTGAAAAAAGAAATATCTTTTGTGTGAAATACTTTGCTGTTTGGGTCGAGGTAGAGGGAAGGGAAGGGAAGGAAACCGTCTGCTACTGACCAAGATGATCCCAGAAGCGGCAACGAAGGAAAAATCCCCGTACAGAATAAAGGGCGAAGGCCGCAGAATCACTAAAAAACAAGATAGACGAAGAAAAAGCTCGAAATATAGAAGATGCAGATAGTGAGACCAATAGTATTGGTGCATTTGACAACCTAAGTGAAAAGTTCGACTGTAACACTGACTGGGAAAAGAAGCAAACAGAATGTAGAAGCCAAAAATAAAGCTGATCCCGTGAAAGAGGAGAATGGAAATGGAAATTGAATCAGATTATGCATTGATGAGTCGAGCAAGTTGGAAGGCTTTCGTCGAGCTGCAGAAGCATGTGTTAGAGTGCATTTGACTAAATGGAACTTGTTCCTGCATTTTTTACCAGAAGGGGTAGTCATCTTTCTTCATTGCTCCTCAACTTTGGTACTTTAGACTTGGAATTTGTTTTGATTCAAATTTCACATAATCTTCAATATTCTTCTCGGCATCATATATGTTGAGCTGTCTTGGAATATTAAAAGTGAATTGTGTAATTAAATATATAGATTGTTACGCCTCTCTACACAAGGATTCCCACGTGGTCCCATCCATCCTACGTGGCAAACGGTACAATGGTCCCACGCCCTGTACACCAGCATGAGGTGAAACTGGATTGACCTTCAAGCGTTGATGACCCATTTTTTGCTTGAGGCAAAGATGGACCGACCCCATTACACACGGACCTCATGGGAAGAGCTGGTCCAGATTTCGTATTACGCGATTAACAAGACAGCTCACTGTTATTGTTGTTGCTGTCAACCTATTTGGTCAAGTCCACGGCCTTCGTTCGTCTTGCCCAAGTACAAAAACTCATATTTAGTGTCATCCAAAGGTAATACAAGTTTAGATTATCAAAGTAATAATCTTGCTAACACACCGTCTAACTATTTCTCCCAAAGTCGTCCCCCTTTGATAGCGGAGGCTCACACTCATATAATTATTTCTACAACTGAGTTGATTGTCGGAGTGCGCGCGGCCAACTCCACTCCCTCCAAAAAAGGCCACGTGCGACTAGGAATTTGTCTAAGTGTGTAGAAACCAAGCTTGCGTGGATGTGAGGGGACTTGAGATCTATTGGCCATGTCATTGATACATTTTCTGGGGTCAACATAGATCTCTCAATCTCAAGAGCAAATAGCACACTCCTTAACTTTGCATTACTACTTATAACAATTACTTATGAGTATCGCGTCGCTCGTTGGATGTATACTTGGTGGATTTATAACCACATTAGACAAATTTTCCTTACAAGCCAGTTTTGAAGGTGAATTTTACGTAACATGTCTGTAATAATGGTATTGGAGCAAGTAACACTTTTTGGGAGAACCTTGTTGTCAACAGACGACAAGAAGAGGGCTACTTTCAGTAGAAAACTAGTTCTATGGAGCCAACAAGATGAAAATAGATTATAGTGAACCTCGATTTGGTGGGATGGACTGTACGATTTCTCACATCACTCATAGAAGGTCCGCCTAATCGGTTTAAGCTCATTTCGGCACCTTCTGCTTAAAGTTAGTTTTAAGAGTGAATTTTAACTAATGATGTGATAATAATATTAAGAGTAGATGTCCCTTCTTGTTGCGAGGTGATATGGGGATTGGGGTGGGTTACTTCTATTTGAACAGCCTTACTCATGAGATTGATTCCATAAAGTCACATAGTTAAAATATAGTGTGTTGTGGATGTCAATTTTGATGGGATGACCTATGTGATGGATTTCGCATAATTTTATTGAAAGTCTGCCTTAATAAGTACATTAAGCACCTTTATTTACAAATCGATGTTGAGGAATGAGTTTTACGAGACATAATTTCTTATCTACGTTCCTTGGAAAATTTATGTATTTTGCTCTCTAGTTTTTCGCATTATCAAATACTTTCTCCAAATGATACTTAGCCCCTGTTTGATTTAACTTTAAAAACCATACTTTTCACGGGACCCACAATTTTTATCAACTTTTTCACTACACATTTCATCAACTTTTATCAAAATCTGCTTAAAATGAATAGCAAGAAATTACATTATGAGGAAAATAATTGCCTTTCCTTTTTCTTCTGATTGTTAAAACAAAAAATTGTTCATACAATTGTCTCTTTCTAATGCAGTAATTCAGTTGTAACTGCTAAATTATACAAACATGTTCTGTCCAAATCATCAGAACACTTTCCGGACAAATTTATCGTATGAATTACAGCAAACCTGCTTAAAGCATACACTAAACTCAAGAATCCATCTCCTGTTTCTCTATCAGTATCATTCATCTCTATTATCTTTTCCCAAATTACTCAATTTGTAGTCTAAACCAGCTCCATATTTCCAGGCCTCAAGCCGACGCCTCCACTCGTATTTCATTTTGGCTGGAAATGTGTTTAACAATGGCCTAAAACAATTTATGTAGTAAGTCTTTAAATTGATCGCAAAATACTCGTACGTTAAAATCCTCACGAAGAGTAGTGTTGAAGGTTGCACGGTCTTCGTCATTCATTGAAAGAATAGATTAGACATGAGAGGTGAAATTTTATTACCTTATTGCAGGGTCGAAGTAGGTGGAAAGAAAAGTATAATATCCCAACATGAAAAAATGTCCCGACCAGTCGAGAAGCACGGGAATACCTACCTGCAAAGCAAAACCAAAGAACCAGTCCTCTTAACTCTAGTAAAATAATGGGTATTGAACATCTAGCTGTGACTACAGGATGATGTTAGATAATGACGAAATGTTGGTAACATTGAAGAGTATTAAGAATGAAAAAAAGTTAAAATCTTGTTTATTATATTGTGTAATTTCGTCGATTACCAAGTACCAAATATGCCCTGATTCAATTGCTAAGCTTATAAGCTCATAAGCCTCCTAAAAAAGGCAATCCATGTAAATATCTGAGAATCAACTGGACAATTCTTTTGAACTCTGTAGGTTTCTCATTCCATGGTGTCATCAGTGGACAGTTGGGCATTGCCCAGAATGCATTTTTGACGTCTTTAACGAAACTAATTTCACTTATTTCCCCACACTATGCACATTACACAAAAATTTTAGATTCCAAAGAAAATTTAAATAAAAAGGAGTATAGAGGACGAAAACATATAACATATGCAAAGACGAGACAATATTTCTCCTGGTTTATTACCAACTTTAAGGAAACACACTGACTACTGTCAAAATGATGAAGAAAACTGTCACGGTTAAAAAAGCAAGTAATTAGTATAGTACCTGCTTGAATATTGATGGTATAATCTGAGGCCTGTTTAGCATCACGAGTCCCAGTGTCTTCACAAGAGGTCCGAATTGTATAACATCCTGTACCAAAACAGAGACATGCATATCAAATAATAGTTTCTCTACGTATTCACAAGATGAAATAAAGAATGGAAGGAAAGACATATTAACCTGAAGAAATGGTCTCAGCACTGGATCTCCTAATTTCTGGTAGATTTCAACAAATGTGAGAACATTGGAAGGATAAAAGACACTTATGGGGATGAAATTCGATATGAATGTAGCTTCAGACAACAAGAATACCTGCATACTCTCAAAATTTGCATACAGAAGCTCGTTGATGAAATTAGGTGAAACATTGGACTGTTTTTTTGCAGACATGGCTCTTTGAAACAACCAGGATGCACTTAAGTTAGGCTGCATATTGTATTTTATCAATATAATAAAAGCATATGCCTTGTGGTGTTTTACAAAGCAAAGAAACTCACCATGTATGGATTCAACAGTGATAAACTCTTGGCATCCAGAAAATTGTTGTCGATCGCTTCATATATGCCTTGTATATCAGGAAAAAGAAAAACTCATATATCAGCGGACTTCTTGGACTTGTTACCATATACGTTAACATTTTATTTAGAAAGCTACATTCAAATTTCTGGATACAACGAGATACGAACATTCCATGGGGTTTCTGTACATACAGGGACAGACTATGCCAGCATCATTATAAATCAAGAGAAAATGTTAATCTACTGAAAGGATACATGCAATTCACTTTCTAAGCACGTATGAGTGAGACCAGAGTTGGAAATAAGATGTTTATTTTGAAACTAATGTCTACCGCACTGTCAAATAAATCCGTTTTCCACTTACAGGTATGAAAAATTTAACCTGTCCCAACATGTTTGAAAACTAAAATTCACTTGAAAGTAAGTTCGGCTACTCTTAAGCTTAGCCAAACATACTCAAAGCAATTCTGAAGCATGTGAAGGAGAACATTACATTGATTGAAATGTAAAATTATTCTCTTTAGGGGAATATCAGAATAGTGTAATTATTTTTTTGAGTCTATTTGAGTTTCATGGGGCTATTTTGACATGATATAGGTATTGTTAGGTATAGAAAATTCTCTTCTTTGAGGGTTCACTATGCTGACAACTTCGCTTTGAGCACACAATTTTTTTGCAGTCCGTCAATAAAAATGAAGTCGATCCATAAAAAGGGATCCAAGAAAACATTAAGCAGTGCCGATGTAATAACTTAAAATCTCATGAAATAGAAATGCATGCTAAGATGTAAAACATACACGCGTTGGTAATTATAACATGCATGTTTTTCCCCCTTGATTAATAGGTATGTTTTATACGTTCTGTTGTTTATATTTTACATCTTAAACGTGCTTCTATGTCACGGGATTGCAAGTTATTAGAAAGTATGTATCACCCCCCCGCCCGCCCACCCTCCCAGTTGGTATGTTTTGTTTCATGCTACAACACATTTATCACATGAAATGCAAAGCACGAAAGAGTAAATGCTGATTTCCACTTGATAAAATGGTATTACGTACGAACAAGATAATGAAGAGATGCAAAAACAATAAAATAATTGTATACCCATTGTTAATCTGCCAAGATGCCTGGTCAAGCTCCCAAAACCACCAAAAGAAACAGGTGATTGTATGCCGCTAGCATCCCCAAACTGTAGACATACATACTCAGTCAGCACTCCTTAGACAAATGAAAAATCATATGTCATGGCTTTTATAAGGATGTGAAATAAATTACCTGTAGAACACGATCAAATGCTGCTGGCAATGGACTGTGAAATCAGTAAAAGAACAACAGAGAAGGGTAAGTCAGAATAAATAAGCTGCTCAAGAATTACTCAGAGAAGAATTTTATATTTAGTAAATAAAAATGCAAAAACTACATATTCACGATTTTTTTTGTCAATAAAATATTAAAAAGAGGAATGATGTAGAGTTACTCAATGCATTATCAAATTCTCAATATGATCTGATTGGATGTCTGAAATATCGATTATATCATACAGGCAACAATTACCTCAAAGTAATTCATGTATTTTACACCTTTACCTCTCACGGTATGTAGGGAAAATGCCATATATCACTCTCAAGATGTCCAGATTGTCAAGAGACATGCCCTGTGAAAATTTCCATATGCGACTCAGGGTTCATGCAACTTTCATAAAATATCACATTTTTAGGAACTCATAATGATACTTAATGAAATAGTTGTGGAACAGACCTCTGTGCCCTCCTGGCTGCTCAAGGTGTTTCTGCTACTCCGATGAACAAATGCTACTTGTGAAATAAGGTCGGGTTTTCTCCCCCGTTGTACCTCTGGTGTGAGAATTAGTAAGGGATTTAAAAAACGTAGACTTAGGGAAGAAAAGATAGAATGTGTATTCAGATAGCCAAAATTTCAAAACCATACATGTTTCGTCTTAGGAGTATTTATATGTGACTAGAGCTATGTAACTGCTGCGCGGTTATCGTGCTACGTGTCCCACGTAGAATCTCGCACCAATCCCACGTTCAAAGTGGAGGATCTCCACCTATCCAGCGGTTGGTTGTGTCCATGATAACCGTTGAAAGGTTCCCATCCAACTCAAGGATGTTTTCATGGTTCAGTGTTGTGTTGGTCACGTAGTGGTGGACAGCTTCATAATGGTAGACGGCCTAGTATGAATATAGGTCTTATTGTCGTCGACAACCCAGGGTGAACTTAGAGGACCTCATAGACGTAGACGACCTAGCGTGCAAGTAGAGGACCTTATAGTGGAAGACGACCTAGCATGCAAGTAGAGGGTCTTATAGTGGTAGACGGTGTAGCATGGGGTGCTCTACGTAGAGTGCCTATTGAGTAGCCTTCACCTTGTTGACCATCGTAGACAATTATTGATGTTATCTAATATCACTAGCCCCTACCTCTTATCAATGTTTATCGATAGAGGGTAGCGTCTTCAGTCTTCACTCCTTCCACATCAATTAATTTTTTTTTTTACATAATGACATATGATAGAGCATAAGTGGATCAATCGTGCAAAATGGCGAAATGTAATAAGCACAATAACCCCATGAGTGGCAAGCATCTTTGGGAGGGAATTTTCCTTCCAAAATTCCAAAATTGGGTCTATATAAAGGGGGAGCTGTATTCATTTTTTCTCACTTCTCTCCATTTACAAACCCTAGCCTCCCTCAAATCTCATCCAAGGTAATATCATCTTCAACCACTTTCTCTTTTCTTGAAAAATCTTTAGTTTTTTATTTCATTCCATGAAAATATACAAAACACTCATATCTTCTTCCTTGGACGAAATCGAAGATGGAGGGGACGGGTCAATTGACCCATCGTCGGATTGGCCGGCTGACTAGACCGTCGATCCAGTTGGTCCGCCGACCAGCACTTTAAGTGGTCAACCGACCAGCTTTACTTGTCGTTCGACCAGTGCGGCTGTCGATCGAACAACGCTCGTGATATTAGATGACATTAATAATTGTTTATGATGGCCAATAAGGTGAAGACTACTCAATAAACACTCTATGTAGAGCACCCCATGCTATGTCGTCTGCCACTGTAAGACCATCTACTTGCATGCTATGTCATCTACCACTACAAGGCTCTCTACTTGCATGCTAGGTCGCTTACTACTACGAAGCCCTCTAGTCTACATTGGGCTGTCGACCACAATGAGGTCCTCTACATTCATACTAGTTCGTCTACCATTATGACGCTGTCAACCACTAAGAGACCAACACAATACTTAACCATAAAAAATCTTTGAGTTGGATGGGAACCTTTCAAGGGTTATCATGGACACAACCAATCGCTGGATATGCAGAGGCAGAGACGGAGATAGGGGGCAAGGGGGGCAATCGCCCCTCAACATTGTCCGCCGGTCCACCATTCCTAATTAATTTGTAATGTATTTTTCAGTTTCGCCCATGCAAAAATTTTGACTTGCCCCCGCTAAATTTTGAAATTTTTTATTTTTTGTTCGATTAATAAATATTGATCCAATAACTTACACTTTAAAATTCAACCATACAAAAATCTTAGACCTAAACAAAAGATCCAATAGTTACTTAAATAAATAAATAGCTCAAATCCAAGAGAAGTTGCATTTGAAAGATCAATTGGAGCTATATCAAATTACAGTTCAGCGTAACTCTCAATTTAAAAATTTGACAACACTTCCTGATGTATGCCAACTGTTGGCATTGATAAGAAAATCAATGAGTTATATTCTTGTTGATAGATTAATCCGTCTTGTCTTGACTCTTCCAATTTCAACAGCAACTACAAAACGTGCATTTTCAGCTATGAGTGTCATTAAGACGAGGTTGCGTAATAGAATGGAAGATGATTTTTTGTCTAGTACCATGCTTGTGTATATAGAGAAGGAGATTGTTGATACTTTTCCATTAGATTCTCTTATTGACGAGTTTGAAGTGATAAGGACAAGGAGAGACCAATTTCAGATATTCAAGCTATCTCTACCCTCTGTTATATAGATAGACAGTTTACTTTTTGTCTTTTTGATGTCCATCTAACGTTCATGTTTTCAATTTGTATAGCGTTAGACACATAGATGGACATATTGTTTTTGTATCGACAAACTGATTGTCTTATTGGTCAGTCAATCTAACTTGCCTATTTTGGTACTCAAAATCTTTTTTTATAGGATTTTGGTACTCAAAATCGCCATTTTCAATCCTCTTAGTAAAAAAAAAATTTCGGGTCCGCCCCCCTCTACCCATTGTATTTTCACCCCATAAGATTGAAATCCTAGCTACGTCCCTATGTGGAGGTCCTCCACTCAAAACGTGGGGGTGGTGGGAGATGCTGTGTGGGGCAGTTACATGGTTCCAGTCATCTATAAATACTCCTAAGGCGAGACAAGTATGATTTTTGAAATTTTGGCTATCTGAATACACATTCTATCTCTTTCTTCCTAAGTCTACATTTTTTAAATCTCTTACTAATTCTCACGCCAGAGGTATGACGGGAGAGAAAACTCCGACCTCATTTCACAGGTAACATTTGTTCATCAAAGTAGCAGAAACACTTTGCGCCGTTAGGAGGACACAAAGGTCTGTTTCATAACTATTTACTTAAGGTTTGTGAACCATAATTGAGGATTACAACCTGATACTTTGGCATCAAGTCCCAATAATCTTCTAGTAACTCCTCCAATTTCGGGCATCCCGGTTGAGGATCAACATAGGTGAACATATATGTCGTTCGATCCAGAGGATTCGATCCAGCAGGAAAGGCCTGCCAAACATTAGATTAAGCAGTTCATTTAAAATGATTAAACTCATTGCAACGAGGCTAGCAAGACATGTGCACAAGACACTTCACACTCATATTACCTCCCAGAAATATTGTACTGATGACATTCCAACGCTCTTCACAGAAGCACTACTAAATATGACATCACTTGTAGAATTATCCTTGAAACCACGACAACAAGAACCAACAACTAGGCAAACCCCATCTGGTTTCCTTCCACGTCTGATCTGTTAGAATCTGAATGCATTAGAAGCAGTTCAATGAATGCATTCACTACCAACTGAAAAAGAAAAGAACTTAAGAGTTCAATTAATAACTAAAAAGCTGAAATTAGAAGTGTGATTAACAAGGTTTCAAAGATTAATACTAAGCCTGGGAAGATTAAATGCTATTATAGGAAAGCTCAACCTGTTTTACCACGGGGGAAAAATTCCCCATTGCATCAATGACGAGACGCGATGATAAAATCTTTTCATCTGCTAATTGTAACACCTGTAGAAAATAAGGTGAGAATAACAATGCAAGTTAAAGGACATCTGCTGTGAGTATACTGGCCAGTACTTATTATCCCAAGATTTCCTGCTTCTCATTCATCTAACACTCGTGTATGCATTTCTCACGTTGTATTACTAAGAATCTATATATTTCTGTTAAGCCTGACAAATTATTCACATTGATAGTTAGATACTATTTTACAGCAATTATTGGCACTCTTACAGCTACATCATCATATGTGCATATTTGAGATACACTGCAATCCTCGAAGATGATACCACCGAGGGAATTGAAACGCTCTTTCATGATCTCAATAAGCTTCACAGGACTGTAATGACATAGGAAATGAGAAATTAGATTTTAAACTACTCATGAAAATAATAACAGCCGCCGTGAAATGTTAGAAAAACACGAGGCTAATTCAAATATATATAACTAAAGTTAAAGCTCATCTACAAAGTATAACAACACAATTAATAGCTTACGAGACACCAAGATTAAGGATGTCATGAACCCAAATCTCGCCCCTCCCCTCAAATCCACATCTGTTCTGCAAAGTTCATTCAAAATCAATTGACACAAGAGCACATTGATAATGGCGTAAGATTGCTTCTTTAATTTATCTTATAAATAGGTTGGGGGGATAGAAATGTAAGTATTATATAAATTAATGAATCGGTTAGATTTATAGACACAACACAAGATCTGAAACTAAAATATGTAGCACTGTTATTCAAGAACATACGGGATTAAAACTGGAAGAGGTAACATGGTTGATGTCATCTTCTGCCAGAATACCAACTTCAACGAGCTCCAAAAGTTCTTTCCTCGATATGTTCCATTCTTGCTCTCTCTGATGATTAACAACAAATAATTATATTTAAAAAACATTTATCTCTTTTAAATTACTAATTCTCAAAGCCTACAACACCATATGATACCCCTTTCAGTATAGCCTTTTCTACAATTCCAACTCGTAGACCTTTAGAACTCAATGCAGTTGCAATGAAGATTCCCAATGTACCTCCACAAACTACGATGTCAAACGTATCCACACATTTTTCAGCCTGATCAGAATCGTGAAATAAACCGGGAACTTTTGAAACTACTTGTCGGGGTTCCGGGACAGCTACAAATCAAATCTTTATATTAACTATTGTTCCAATTCAAATGCAGGTTCATTGCAACCCGAGAAATTTATACACACATACCAACTAATATACTTACACGTTGGAGGGGAGCAAATGCTAGACCACAACTGGTCGAGTCTTTTCAAAGCATTATATGAGTAAGAACCACCAGCACCACCTACTTCCCCACTCACTGCTATATTCTCCATTATCCTCTACATAAGATTTATGCAAAAATCCAAATAAAGTCAATAAGCGCAAATGATAATTGGCACAACATGAAACAAACACGTCATAGCAAAAGATGAGAGGAAAAAATAAATAAAAATTGGTACTTGGGTTCTGGAAGGAGTGGCTTGTGCATTCGGGTAATTTCTCCTTTTTCTCTGTAGAGATGAAGCTCCAAATGGGCACCCAAAAATGGCTTCATTTTTTATGGGTATTTGATAATGATAATGATAATTCTGCATCATCGTCATCTTGCTTCTTTCTGGAATATCGAAATTCTTCGATACTTGGTTAAGTTGGTTTATCATGTAGAAACTATCAGAAAAATGTGCGAACACAACACGGTACACGCGTTACAATCTTTTCTCCATTCAGCGTACTTTTTTGTAAGGCCATGTTTGATAGGCCACATTTTTTGAGAAAGTCGGAAAATATTTTTCATTTTCTGCTTTTTTGACTGTTTGATTGACAAAATTTTTCACGGAAAATATTTTTTGGATTTTCCCCACATGTGTGCAATTTTCAGGTTTTTGATGAAAATATTTTCCCAGTTGGTTGAAAATTTTTTTTTTTTGGCAATGGATACAAATGTCATAACTAATGGTAAAATACTAAATTTTGATGAAAAAATGATTTTTTTGGAAATAAATTTATTTTTTCCTTTTGCTTTTACTTTTTGGTAATAGAAACAAATTTTATAACCAATTGTGGAAAAAAATATCACTTTAATGGACAATTTTCACGTAAAACAAAGTCAAACGAACACTAAACTTTGATAAAGAAATGATTTTTTCAGAAAATAATTTTTTTCCTTTTTTTTTTTAACTTTTTGGCAATGGAAACAAATTTTATAATTAATTGTGAAAAAAAATCACTTTAATGGACAATTTCCATATAAAACAAAGTCAAACGAATAGAAAATTTAAAAAATTTTCGAGTGGAAAATTATACCAATCAAACACACTTGAAATCATTTTCCCTACAAAACATCTTCTAGGCAAATCTTTTACCTGTAAAATATTTTCTTTCTAATCATTTTCCACCCTTGCAATCAAACGCACCCTAAAAGAAAAATGAAAGGGAAAAAAGAGCTCGCACACACACACAATTACTAATTTTTTTTTTTTATATGTAAAAGAAATTTAAAAAATTTTTTTTTGAACATATTAACCCAACTTAAAATTTTTTAGCCAAATCTATTTTACATATTAACCCTTCGTCAAGATGCACATAACCTAGAAAGAAAACACACAAAAAGAAGTAACAAAGCAAAACAAAAGAGAAATCCAAAAGAAAGAGTTCTTACTTTGAAAATATTGTCTTTTTTATTGTTCTTCCTCGAGGGGTGAACAGATCATTTTAGGTAAAACAAAGATTTCTTCATGCAGTCGTACAGAAATGACAGTTTGAAAGAAGAATCATGCTACATGTACCGAATTTTTTTATCGAATCTTTTACCTACTACTCACAATGAGGATTGAGACCACATTGTCGAAATTTTTAAATACACGCGAACCCCGCGCATTATGTAGAGAGGTAATCCATTATGTACAAACTATTATGTACAAATGGATTAACCCTTGAAAGAATGGAAGCAGAAAAACTTGATCCATTAGTAGTTTAAGCCCCACGTTTGGCTACATTATTTTGGAGTATAATTTTTGGAATTGTAATTTTTTAAAGAATGAATGAATTGTCAAAAAGGAAAAAAAGAAATCGATTTATGTATGATATTATTTTATTGGAGAATGAGTGGTTGAAAGAAACAAAAAAAAAATGTATTATAATTTTAATGGGAGGGGTTAAATAATAAATAGATTCTCAACGTTAGAACTTTTTGAGAATATTATAGCGTGTTTGATTAACTTTATTTTCTATGAAAAATATCATTTTCTTACTCAATTTTTTTTTGCGTTTGATTGACATTTTTTTCCTTGAAAAATATTTTCCAACTTTTGATTATGTGACCATATTTTTCTTAAAAATAAGGAAAATATTTTATTTAGGAAGATGTAATTTTTATTTTTCAGTTAATTTGCTCTCTCTCATTTACCCTCATATCTCATCTACCCATTAATGAAAAATGGACGAGTATAATATTTTCTAAGTTGAAAAATAAATTAATCAAACACATTTAATTAATAATTTTCGTAAAATTAAATTTTAGGTAATTGAATCGTTTAGAATTTATTTTCTTTTCATATAAATTTCATGCTCGCAATCAAACACCTTGTTAGAAAAATTCTAAATTATAGATTATTCTTATTTATTTTTTTATTTTCGAGGGGGCAGTAGGGGAATTGATCAAAGGCATAAAATAAAAATGTTGGATCGACCTGATCATTTTCACTAATGAGTGGATGATGATCTTGATACATATTATAGGTATTGATTGAACACTATTTTTAATTGCAAGCATGGAATTTGTATAAAATGAATGGAAATTATCAATAAAATATGTTTGATTGGTGGGTTAGATGAGAGAGAGAGAGAGAGAGAATTGTGTAGAAAAAGAAAAAAAGTGCCTCTAAAGAAAATATTTTTCTTGTATTTAAGGATAACATAGCCACATGATCAACTTTTAAAAAATATTTTTCATAAAAAAAATGTCAATCAAATACCCAAAAGTAGGGGTGGGCAAAACCCGACATACTCGATCGAACCGAAGCGACCCGATCGGGTTGGGTCGATTTTTTTTCAATTTTTTTGTGGGTTCGGGATGTGGCAAATATAAGCGGGTCGGATTGGGTCGGGTTATGTATTAACTCATAAAACCCAATAAAAACCACCCAACCTGACTCGCTTATTTTATTTTAAAAAAATATATAAATGTATGAATTTTAGTCAACCCTAATCCAATTGATTCGATTGCCCTTTTTTCCCGCCTCTCTGCTTTCGCCTCACGCTGTCTCCGCTTCCCCCGTCTCCGGCTCACCCCGTCTCCCCGGCCCGCCACCGTTGTTCTTCATTTTATTTTATTTACCGTAACTTGCGTGAATGGTATGGATTTCTTTAGTTAACATTAACCTTGCGCGAATGGAATTGTATGGTATGTGGTGATTTTTCATTTTATTTACCAGTAACCCGCGTGAATGATAGGTTGTGTACAATTTCAGCCTTTCTGTCATGCTATATTCATCTTCCTGGTAAATGGTATGGATCTCTTTAGTGCTTTGTTGGAGGGCAGCCATGATAACTAATTCCCCCTTGCATTGTCACATATAAAAATTGATATAACTTAAAAGAGTGCATGAATATTTTGGTGGATTGTACTATTTTAATTTTCAAGTTTATTGATATTGGATGGCTATATTGATGTTACTTTAAAGTGGAAATTACACACAAGCCTATTTTTCAAGATCCATATTCAAAAATCAGATGGAACGTTTCATTGTTCAAAAATCAGATGTTTTATTTTAACTAATATTTTAACAAAATAACAAAACCTAATTAATTAATTCAATCTTTCCTCTCTATCTCTTCATATCTACTCTCTCTCCCTACACCAACACGTCGCACTTCACACTCTCTCTCCCTACACTTCGTCGCTGGTAACACAGTTCCCAATAGC